GTTATCTCATTCTCTAGGAGGGGCCTACTTGAGGGATCTAGGTTGGCCTGCCCTTATTTCTTTTGGAATTGGGTGCAACAATTTGAAATGCTCGTACGCCCAACACTGAAATACATGTATAAAAAAATAAGAATCAGAACGTGAAATATATATCGAACTTTATAAAAAGTATCAAAACACTAATATACTACAATTACCAGCAAAAGAGTGGGATCCACTTAAGTCTTGATGATCAGCATGAACAACATTTGACAAGGCTCGAAACAAAAATTCTAACGCAGCTGCACCCCATGGATACTGACCAGCTATACGTCGATATCCTCAAAAAGTTGTAAGTAGATTGTAGGAATTGTACCATCTGTGGAATCCGTAAATATTATGCACCTAACTAGATATCCAAGGTACGTACGGGTATATCGTAGAAGAGTACTGCGGTTATAGTTTTGTGGTATCTACTTAAACGTGTTCCTCATCCATGTCAGTCAGATGAAGGAATGGCTATGACCAGGTGGCAATTGTCCTATCATGCGAATTATATGTTCATCGTAGTTCTCCACTCTCCTCACGGTTACAGCTACACCAGTCACCTTTAACCAAAGAATTTCCATGTATCTTCAAGTGTAGGCATCATCTCTCCGATGTTTACATTGAAGTGCCTCGTGTTCATCTTTGCGCGCCACTTCTCAATTATTGTAGATAATGTGTTGCGGTCATGCTGATTCATCAATACTATAGTTAGAGAAGACAATCTTGATTTCTTGACCAAATCAATTTGGTCGTTGTTTGTTAACGGCCATGCAACACTTGCATTAGGCTTCTCATCAATCTTGAGGGTATTTTTTTTATGCTGAAATAAAATTTGTCATTTCAAATACTTAAAAAAACAATTTAACTAGTATGATAGACAAAAAATATAATTTTAAATATTTCTACTTACATCTCCTTCCCTTATCTTCTGTGATATATGTTCTCTTTGTCTAGTGAGCATTGAAGGAATCTCAGGACCTCCAGGGAAAGCTGCATCTTCTGCCATGATCACTGTTCAAAAAACCATTATACATCAAAAACATTTGTAAATCAAAAAGAAAAAAACTATTCATTAATAAACATTTTCATAGTAAATGATACAATAGTGTGATATTTAAATTTCCTACCAAGTATTCCTTAAGTCCTTGATAAATTTGTTATCTATATTTAAAACCACTATATCTGAAACTTACACTCCATTTCAAACATGTATAAGCTAATTCTACTTAAAAACATGTCTAACTTGGTGTACATTTATGCCAATTCTACTTAAAAAAACCTAACTTGCTGTACATTGATTTCACAAGCAAAAGTAAACAAATCATTCAAAGATGACCAGTAAGATGCATTAGCGGTTAATGTCTACAACTTACATATTCATATACTCAGTAATATAGACAAAGTTCAATGACAACATAATGACATAATGACATGTGATGCTAATTCTACTTAAAAAAACATGCCTAACTTTATGTATATTTATGCCAATTCTACTAAAAAAATGCTTAACTTGATGTCATTGACATATGCTAGCTTAGGTTGCACAAAATGCAAGGAAGGATTAGCCAATAAGAGAATGAACAAAGACCAACGAGAAGTATTTTTCTTTTGTCCTAAGCTTCTCAATCAGTTTTCTAAGTAGGAAAATAGCCTCGATTGTTGACCTCCGTGGCATAAAGCTGTATTGCTTTTTTGATACTCATTTCATGCCTTTGTCATTGCTCTATCACTCTCTCTCCCAAAACTTCATTGTATGGCTCATAAGGTTGATTTCTTGATAGTTCATACAATTTCGTATGTCTCATTTGTTTTTATAAATAGATACTATAGTACTTGTTCTTCCATTCGTCTGACATTTTCTTCGTTCTTAATATAGTATTGAACAACTTGGTTAGTTAGTCAAGGCCAATCTCCCCCATGCACTTTCAAACCTCTATCATAATATTATATGATCCTAAAGCCTTTCCTATATTCATCATCTTTAAAGCTTCTTTCACTTCCGAGATCCTAATCGTACGAATGTATCTATGACCTCAGCACTCATTAAATGTCAGTGGTTCCTTCTATTACTATGTTCCCACTGTGTTCATTATTTAATAATTTTTAAAAATAAACTCTCCACCTTTTATTGATTTCTTCATTCTTCTCCAAGACCTTTTGGTCCTCACTCTTAATGTATTTAATATGGTCTAGATTTTTACACTTTTTTTCTCTCATTTTTTTATAAGCTTGAACAATATTTGGTTTCGAAACAAATATCAAAAGATGCCATCACACAAGCTTGAACAATATTTAGTTTCAAATTAAATGTTACACTTTTCTTGATAATAAAGCCCAGGTTTGTGTTGAGAGCCGATTATCCAAATACAATTAATATTAGAAACCCTACTACATTGAGATATAGACGTTGATGTTTTTTACTTCTTACAAATATAAGTCGGCAAAGATTTCTAAACAATTGGAGAAAGATTCATACGATTGGTTTTTATTTTTATTTTGTCTTATTGTCATTGACATGTGCTAGCTTAGGTTGCACAAAATGCAAGGATGAATTATCAAATAAGGTAATGAACTCATTTTGAGTCCAAAATGCGGGATATCATCACACAAGCTTGAACAATATTTACTTTCAAATCAAATATCAAAAGATGTCATAATATTAAGTTTCAAATTTTAGTTTAAAAAATCTTTGTTTTTGGATCAAGCACAAGTTTTTTGAGCAGTAGCCTTTTGGGTGAATATCAACCCATAATATTTCGTTTTTTGAACAAATTGAAACATGAATCTGATAACTACTTCTATTATCTATCAAACCCACCAAATTTCTTCAAGAAACATTAAGGGATAAAGAAATTATTAAAAAAATGGCGGAAATTATCAAAAACCTGAATACTACACCATTTCGATTCAAGAAATTAATCATAGATATTGGAAATCGTAAATAATGGAACAAATCACAGATATTAGAACAAATCATAGATCTGTTGAATTGAAAAGAGAGAACAAGATGTTGCAATTCTACGTGCTCTAAAATTTATATTGTACGATTGGGGTTTATAAATCCAACAACAATTATTTCTTACCTGAAATAATAAGGGAAAGATCGATGACTATGAAGAACACCGCAGCAACCTTCTAACGGCAGAATGAAGACCGTAATCTTGGGTTGTTTTGGATGAAGACCGTAATCTTGGATTCTTTTGGGTTAGGGTTTATACGGCTGAAAAAAAGAAGTATTACGGTGCTACGAGTACCGTACTACATTTTAAAAGTTGCTATAAGGTGTATTACGGTACCTGTAGTACCGTAAAAAGCTTTTGAAGAATTACAGTACTAGTAGTACCGTAATATATTGCAAGAACAATACGGTACTCATAGTACCGTAAATTAAAAGTACGGTGTTTTTAATACCGTAATTCTTATTACGGTACAAAGACTACCGTAAAGGGTAGTTTGGTCGAAAATTTTACAAAAATGGGGAAAAAAGGTGTGGGTGAGGTTTTGAGAAGTTGGGTATTTTTTTTTTTCAATTTCCTAAAATTATGGGTATATTAGCGATAGTTTTTCTATATATGTAAGAAAAAAGTATATATATAAAACTGATGCTCTAAACAATCAATTTAGGGCGCATCTCAAAAATTCACTAAAAGAGGTTATTTTGAAGTCCAAAAATCCTTAAATTTATCATCTCGTAAATTCTCAAGATTTTTAAGTGTTTATTGATCAGCTCGATCTATCCTACTTTTGAAGTTTTAAATTTTATAACTAGAGATGAAAATAAAATTTTAGGCCATCACAAAGATTTCCAGTATTGACACATGTTTCAACAGTATTTGAAAGTGCACTTTACTTTGATTGTTTAGAGCCTTGGCTCTATACAAACCGCACCCTTTATGTAATTAGATATTTACAATACAATATATATTTACAATATAATACAATACAATATATTATATAATATTTTATATTGAACATAAAAATAATATTTAATATATAATATTTAAATAAATACAACTGTATAAGTATATATGTTTGGTTATAATATTTAAATATTAGATGTATAGATTAATATATTTACAAAATATATTTAAATACCAAATAACTGAAGTCCGGGCATTGTTCCTGTCATCTAAGGTCTAGAGCGCATTTGTTCTTGTATGTTTACTAAGCAAGCACCGCTGAGGTTTGACTCGGACTCGGTCGGGTTACTCAGATTTGGCACTATGCCAAACCCAGTTCCTAAGTACAATTCTGGTTATATAAAAAAAATTATATTTATTTTGCTAAATCACAACCAGCTAGGTCCACAGGTCGACCCAACCAATTTTCAACCCCTAATTGTCATGTACCTATCCTAAAAAAATTGGCATTGAAGAAAGCGGTTATCAGGTCTAATAATTAAGTATTTGTTTTTGACGAAGTTTCTATAAGGCCTAGCTTTTATAAAAACAAAATATGAAATCTCCATGATAGTTCTAAAATAAATTTCCAACATCAAAAAAAAAAATTTGGAATTAAAAAAAAATACAAAGCATGTAAATCTATGAACACTTATTTTTAGGGCAAGATGGACTGTCTAAATTATTTTTTATAATATACATTAATTTTAGAGCTTGAATTTCTAATTTTTTTTAACAATCAGCCGAGATGATTAGTATAAAAGGTTTTTCAATACTTGAATTGCAAATGAGCTATGAGATGAGGGTTTATTTATATTGATAGGGCTGCAGCTTTATCGAACCATTTTCCCCAGAACTTTTAGCTAAGCCGTCCGCTGTGTTGCAGTTGAAATCGAGCATGGAATTGATGGGGTTGAAGCATAGTTTGTTAGGGTTTAAAATGGATTGAATTTGCAAACTTTTCCAGGGTTTTATAGGGACTTGCACCTGCAAATTCACGTTGTTTTGATATAGTTTATTAGGGTTTGAAATGGATTGAATTTGCAAACTTTTCCAGGGTTTTATAGGGACTTGCACCTGCAAATTCACGTTGTTTTGATATAGTTTATTAGGGTTTGAAATGGATTGAATTTGCAAACTTTTCCAGGGTTTTATAGGGACTTGCACCTGCAAATTCACGTTGTTTTGATAGAGCTCACAAAGATGGCACTTGGTGGCAAAAAGTGACCAGCACCTCCAAGTTTTTGGGTTTTGGACTGGGGTTTTGTGAAAATTGGTGCTAGGGTTTTTATCTCTTGCTCTATCTAAGTCCCAACAAATGGGGAAGCTCTCTACATTGATAAACTATGTTAGGGTTTTCTCTTCTTCAATGAACAGATTATCCTTTCAACAGCATGTGCCGTATGAAAACAGGTACTTTCCTCTCTGTCTGGCAAAGAAGGTTTAAGTTTTGAGTTAAGTTTTCACTTAAAAAATCATAAATTTCTTCATATGGCCTCAAAGAAACTTTAGTTTTGGATTTGGAAACATGATTACTATTTAATTGAGTTCTCATTGTTCTAAAGAAATGATTTATTTTTTGGGGCTTTTATGAATAGCAAAATTTTGGAAAGTTGGGTAAATTCTAGACTCTTTGCAGGATCTGGGGGGCATTTTTTCTTCTTCTTTTACAATGCAAAAGTTTGAGATGTTTTAATTTTTCATCACAAATTCTACTGTGTTAATTGAAAATTGTTCTTGTCGCCTTAGTGATTGTATGTTTTCTCTAATGTTTTTTAATCAATCGCATTGCTTGTTATTGCTATTTTTCTCCTTTTCCTCACGATGTTCTTTGATTCAATCTTCGCCCTCTTATTATAGTAGCTTGTGTAATGGTTTCTGCAAGGTCTCTGGTCCAAAACCCATGTTTGGGTTTTGCAGAGAAATGGGAAGTCAAAGAAGTGGTGTCATCTGTCCTTTTCATATGCGAAATAAGCAGCTTAGATTCATGAGCCAGGAAGCATTAGAGCCACAAAAGTTAACTACTGATGATGTTCATTTGGGGGATGGTGCTCAGGAGAAACCAAAGAGGAAGAAACTGAAGGGAAAGAGGGCAGTCATAAAATGGCTTAAGTTCTTTCGATGGCAAAAAAAGAAGGAATATGAAAGGATGACTGCTGAGGAGAAGATTTTATACAAATTGAGGAAGGTATCTTTGCAGAGCTCTGCTAATTTTAATTTTCCGGGAGAAAAAAGCTGTGATTTTATTGCAATGATTAGTTTAATAAGAAGTATTGTAGGTTTGGTTCTCTTCTTAGCTGTATGAATAGCTGTTTGAAGTATTGTAGTAACTAGTAATGCTTTCATTAGAGTCAAGGATAGGAGGCAAGATCGTTGTGCACTTATAGATTAGGAGCAGGAAGTGATGCTAGGAACAAAT